TGCTGAAGTGCTCTGTGAGACTGGTTTGTGGCCTGTTTGGAGAGGTCACCAGTCTGGGGGCTGTAAGGAGCCCCGGATTTGAGCAATTCACCCTGAGCGGACACCCTCAGCTGTGCCCAGACACGGCCCGGTCCGTCACACTGCCCTAGAGCACATCTCCAGCACGGAGGCCCGTCTAGGAGCTGAAATCTTGCCGTCTGAGGAAGCGCAGCACCATGCACCCGAGTACTAGCTGCAGTTCGGGTTCCTGCACTCCGAGAGAACGGACTTACCCATCGAATGGCTTCAAACATCTTCAGATCAAGCGGGTCCCCAGAAAGCGCGCCTTCAATGTTCGTGAGTGAATGACACGTTGCCATGCAAGCAACAAACTGAGACTTCACCAGGCTCTCGCTGCAGGCGCTCTCTTCTGGCAAAAGGAACCTAGCACAGAACACAGTAACGCCAATGGTTTACTCTGAGCTAGGTGAGCAGCGGAACACTGCCTTCCAGCACTTCCCAAGCTTATCCCTTCCACTCTGCCCAGAGGACGGATTAGGACCGCAGGCTGAGATTTTTCGTAGAGCCCAAGGGAATTAGGCAACCTGCTCCCACTGAATTACAGCATGATATGGGCATGTACCTCCTGCAGGCTCCTCTGCAATCCCCATCTCCACTAGGGGAGTAGTCAGACACAGCTGGTTCGATCATTTGTAACTTCACTTGGATCTCATCCAGACAAGAACTAAAGCTGGCTTGCCTGAATCCAGTCCCTGGTAACTCAGACGAAACACCCTGACCAGGCTGCAACGAGTGCACAGACCAGGCTCAAAATCCCTTTGCCTTGTTCTGTGCCCTGTTCCTAACTCCCAACCCACATTTTACAGCTGTGAGAACAGGTCGTGGACTTTCCACCAAGTCGTGCTCACATGCGATGTGTAACCCTTTCCAGGCATGCTGTTGTGCACATTCAGGAACACAAAGGATCAAAAATTCTTTTCTGCTTTATGCAGGCTCTTGGATGCTCATGACCATAGTGTCTGAGTACCAGTTACATATTTGCTCTCATATCAATCCCACGGTGCCAAACCAAACCTCCCTCTCATGAAAATACTGTGGTACGCTTGTACTCACCGACCATTCTCCACTCTCTGGATCCCCCAAAGATCTAAGCCATCTTCAGTCAGAGTGCCAGTCTATCAAAAAGCAAAACAAAAAGCCAATCAGTCGCCACAGAGAAAAACTCCCTTGCCAAGATGGGCTCTGAAAAGTGCCGGTGGACAAATGACCAGAGCTACACTTGAGCAGGGACACGACAGCATTTTCACATCCAGCCACAATGCAGATGTGATTTTTGTTAGCTGTCCCTTGCAGAATACGTCTCTGTGCAGGTTCCACAGGGCCCTGACCACGGTACAGCAGCGTCATATGACTGTCACTTCCCCGTGCCATGCATTCACTGCTCTCCACAGTCTGCGCTCACGGGACTGGAGGGAACACCCACTCCTCAGCCCTCACTACTGTGAGCTCACAAAGCCTGTGGTTTTGGGCGAGGAATTTCCTAACCTTGCACATGGAATTCCAAGTGAAAAGACAACAGATGACCGAAAAGCAACAGCTCAAGAGCTGGGCGCTAAGCTACTGCCCCAACAAACAGGTATTTGGAGAACTGTTCACACACCAGTTTGAATCCATCAGCCATACAGAGAAACCTCACAGCCGTGCAGAGAGTTTAAGGCCGTGGCGGCCAACCGGTTCTGAAGCAGTAGCCGCTATAGCAGCAGTAGCTACAGCAATCTAGCCATACTCAACCAGCCAAATAGCTACATTTGACGAGGGCTAGTGTGCTGCACACCACAGGTTTAAGGAGTTAGACAAAAATGTAGAGGGGAGAGAAGTCTGGATGAAGCGCTAGCTCAGTGTTTCTCAAACTGTGCTCCGTGGCGCCCCAGGGCTCCGAGAGACCTCTCCAGGGGCTCCGCGAGGTTGACAAACTGGAAATGTCGATAGGTACAACACATACAGTCAGCGGGCCGCTGGGGCTCCGCATAAGTACAACACATACAGTCAGCGGACCGCTGGGGCGCCGCATAAGTACAACACATACAGTCAGCGGACCGCTGGGGCGCCGCATAAGTACAACACATACAGTCAGCGGACCGCTGGGGCGCCGCATAAGTACAACACATACAGTCAGCGGACCGCTGGGGCGCCGCATAAGTACAACACATACAGTCAGCGGACCGCTGGGGCGCCGCATAAGTACAACACATACAGTCAGCGGACCGCTGGGGCGCCGCATAAGTACAACACATACAGTCAGCGGACCGCTGGGGCGCCGCATAAGTACAACACATACAGTCAGCGGACCGCTGGGGCGCCGCATAAGTACAACACATACAGTCAGCGGACCGCTGGGGCGCCGCATAAGTACAACACATACAGTCAGCGGACCGCTGGGGCGCCGCATAAGTACAACACATACAGTCAGCGGACCGCTGGGGCGCCGCATAAGTACAACACATACAGTCAGCGGACCGCTGGGGCGCCGCATAAGTACAACACATACAGTCAGCGGACCGCTGGGGCGCCGCATAAGTACAACACATACAGTCAGCGGACCGCTGGGGCGCCGCATAAGTACAACACATACAGTCAGCGGACCGCTGGGGCGCCGCATAAGTACAACACATACAGTCAGCGGACCGCTGGGGCGCCGCATAAGTACAACACATACAGTCAGCGGACCGCTGGGGCGCCGCATAAGTACAACACATACAGTCAGCGGACCGCTGGGGCGCCGCATAAGTACAACACATACAGTCAGCGGACCGCTGGGGCGCCGCATAAGTACAACACATACAGTCAGCGGACCGCTGGGGCGCCGCATAAGTACAACACATACAGTCAGCGGACCGCTGGGGCGCCGCATAAGTACAACACATACAGTCAGCGGACCGCTGGGGCGCCGCATAAGTACAACACATACAGTCAGCGGACCGCTGGGGCGCCGCATAAGTACAACACATACAGTCAGCGGACCGCTGGGGCGCCGCATAAGTACAACACATACAGTCAGCGGACCGCTGGGGCGCCGCATAAGTACAACACATACAGTCAGCGGACCGCTGGGGCGCCGCATAAGTACAACACATACAGTCAGCGGACCGCTGGGGCGCCGCATAAGTACAACACATACAGTCAGCGGACCGCTGGGGCGCCGCATAAGTACAACACATACAGTCAGCGGACCGCTGGGGCGCCGCATAAGTACAACACATACAGTCAGCGGACCGCTGGGGCGCCGCATAAGTACAACACATACAGTCAGCGGACCGCTGGGGCGCCGCATAAGTACAACACATACAGTCAGCGGACCGCTGGGGCGCCGCATAAGTACAACACATACAGTCAGGGGACCGCTGGGGCTCCACATAAGTACAACACATACAGTCAACGGACCGCTGGGGCGCCGCATAAGTACAACACATACAGTCAGTGGACCGCTGGGGCTCCGCATACATTTTTATGCATGTAAGGGGCTCCGGAGCCCAAAAAGTTTCAGAAGCACTGCGCGAGCTGAAAGGAGGAGACAGACGGGCTGTGTTTACTTGCGCTATTTCTGACTTTTAATTCTCCCTGGTCCCACATAACAGTTTGGCCTTTCATTTGAAATTAAATTAAAAGAGAAAGGAGCCGAAGCCACAAAGTCTGAATCCCAAATTTTCCTAAGAGGTGTGGTGTGGGCCTTCATTCCAGTTTGATAATACTTACACCTCTTGGGTCTCTTGGCAAAGTAGCATCTGGAGTTTTGAGATTCCACTTACATTTTAAAGCACAGGCTGGACATCTCTTCCCCAGCGCCCTCGGGAACGGACCGGTCTCGAACCGGGGAGATTGCCAGACTAGAGATGGTTCCCTGCCACAGGCCAGAGCTGCTGACTCTGCC